GGGGAGAAAGGGTGAGACAGAATCAATTTTCCTGATACATGAGATACATCCAGCAACTTAATTAAGTTGAAAAAAGTAAGTGCTTGTAGTTTTGTTCGGCAAATGACTTTTGGAGACTAAGAGAAGCGAGCAGGCCTGAGCAATTAATTGTATTTTATTTTCAATTAACAATTTTGGATTCCAACGATTATGAAAACTAAATAATCAAGATAAAACGATTATTATGCTGCATGTTTTGCAATGATAGTCTCGTTTTATCCTGCGTTATAAATCAAGCTTACCCAGTGTGACCATAACACCTAGGCTCATTATTGTACGTGCAATGAAACCTCAGAGAATAAAAAGTCAATAAGAGCTCTATCAAAAGATAAACCTGCAGAGAAGCAATTATTTCAGATTTGCTCGCAGTCTGTCATCCACCGCCAGCCTGTTCACCACAGCAAGTCTGTAAAGCTAACAGCGGTTATAAACAATGTAAAATGAAAGATGGCTGCATGTAGCCTCGCTGTTAAGTAAGAGACAGAGATGGATGTGGCCGTGTCGTGGTGAGCCCAGCAGACTGAGTGATTCTTTAGGTTGTGACAGGCAGTATCGTTAACCTGAAGTAGCAAAGATTTATCTGTAAAATAAATACAAAGTATTAAGTATTTTCCTCTGAACTGTCCATCACAAGGTAGATGAAATACCTAATTTGTTTTCCAGTTGAATCACATTTAAAGTTCAAGAAAAGATTTTTTTAAGCTCAATAAATGCATGACATTTCCAAAGTCAGTGAGTAATCTCCTTAAACAATCATTATCTCAAAATAATTGTGATTATGATTTTTGCCATAATTGTGCAGACCTCGAACCAAGCAAATAGAATGGAAATAAACAAACAGGAATCTCACCGGCTCTTGCGCTCCAGTAGGATGGCAATATAGGAGGCGGGCAGTGCCGAGCCAAACCCAACAGACCAGGAGTAGAACCCCCCGAACAGTTTCCTAAAGTCAGAAATATATAGCATTATTTTACTGTTTTTATTTTTGATTTTCTCTTACCTTTTAAATCAAATTTGATATATTGTCTAAATGGTATGTTTAAACTATTTGTCTGGCTTTGGACAGTCTATGAAGTCATTTTTAATTATGTGTAACCCCTTGAGGCTAAAAGTATCTTGTGGAGCTAATTCTCGTTCATCTCGAGGCTACACACATGCACATGCGACATGATACGCACTCCCACCAAGGTAGGCATTGTGCCAACAAAGGAAATGCTGAAGAAGACTGATATTCAGTAAACATGGATCAAAATAGACGGGATTAAAAATAGTTTAGAAAAAAAATCAACACTGCAAGTGTTTTATGGGAAAGGAATTGAATTGTTATACTGTACATCAGGGATGCATACAAAGTGTTTCACTGAATGTAATTTTCTTTTTTTGTTTGTTTGTTTGTTTACAAGAAAACTCCACAGGGTCCATTTAAGCAACACTGAAAACTCTCGTGGGAATTTGCTTATTATATATTTTGCTAAATTTTCAGTTTCAATGACAAATACACAGGGGGAAAGAAAAAGTAAGTGAGCCCTTTAGATTTATCTGAACTAATGTTTAAATGCATCTTAATATATAGACAGAACCCCATTTAAGCTACAATTAAGAACAAATAAAATATGTTTTACTAAACACACAAGTCATTGTATTGTTCTTGTCCATACTGAATACATCATTCAAGCATTCACAGTGCTGGATGGAACCCCTATCAGCTAAAGACAGATAAATAGCACCTGGGTGTCTCACACAGTGCCACTGGGAAAATGTTGTGTAGGCTGGTGAAACTAAGACTGAACTGCTGGAAAAGAACAGACAGCACTGAGTCCCAACAAGAAAACAGTGAAGCACTAACCTAACTTGTGGAAGAGCTGTGCTGTGGGACTGACAGTGTGGATCTGGACGACATTTGTCAATCTACTAACCTGAGAATACAGAAGAAAACAATGTAGAGACTTCCATTGGCAGTAAGGAAGGAGGTAGACCATAGGATCTCCGGGAGAAGCCTTTTTAAATAGTAGTCCCTCTTCTTTCTCCGCAAAATTGCTGCTATCTGCAATATAGAAATCCGAGGGCCGTCCTGGCTGGTGCTTTTTGTGGTAAAATCATTGCATAATTTTTTTTTTTTTATTACAAACAATGTTGCTCAGTTATATTTAAGTTTCCCCTTGGAATTAATGACGATTTGAACAGTCTTAAAAATAATTACAGTGCAAAAACTGACAACAGAACCTGTTCAACTACTGCTAATTAGCTGATAAATCCTCAATGTGTCATGTCATGTTGTGTTTTAAAGGTCAAAGTTCGGTTCGCAGTAGTTTTGCCTCTTTCACCGACTCTGTGTACGTACACCAACAAGATCTTAGCCCCTGTGTGTAAACTAGTGGCATGTCAGTTCATCTTTACGACATTTTCGAGGAACCAGTTAGCCTCATTGGTGAGCTAGCTAACTTTAGCTTCAGAGTCTACAAGTCCAAATGTTGCAGGTCAAACGACTAAACATACCAGGTAAAGAGGGGCGTATATTTTAAAGGAAACCTCCAGAGCACCCGAGGTTACATCCACAGCCGACTGCACACACGACGGGCTCCAGGTGTGACCGATCTCATAGCAGTTGTAAGGTATTTTACTGAGTACAGCCATGTCTGACAACCAGCAGCGGGAGTAGGCAGCAGCGCGCGCGCTCTCACTGTGACGGCAGCGCAATCGAGCAAAAGAGCAATGCGTGTGCACGACACTGTCCGGCCTGAGCTATTCACTAACTAACCAGTAGTGGGCGCAGCAGTACTCAGTTTATTTACACAGACACACAGTAGGCTACTTTGTTGCCAATAAATTCTACTTCAAAGTACATAGGCATAGAAGTGAGGGGACCAGTTGAACTACCTAAAAATCCAGGAATTAAAGATTGGTGTATTACAACCATTATAAGTACAGAGGCACAGCAGAGGATGTACTTCCTGCACCAGCTCAGGAAGTTCAACCTGCCCCAGGAGCTGCTGATACAGTTCTACAGAGGAATCATCGAGTCTGTTCTCTGCACCGCCATCACTGTCTGCTTTGGCTCAGCAACCAAACAGGACAAGTACAGACTTCAGCAGACAGTCAGGACTGCAGAAAAGGTCATTGGTGTGACCCTGCCTTCCATGGAGGACCTGTACATCTCACGGGTCAAAAGGAGGGAGGAGAGGATCACTGCAGACCCCTCACACCCTGGACACAATCAGTTTGAACTCCTCCCCTCTGGATGGCGTTATAGGTCACTTTGCACTAAGACAACCAGGCACAGGGACAGTTTCTTCCCCCAGGCTGTTGCTCTGATGAACACTTAACCATCGACAGTATGACTGGACAATAACCCTCAGTGCAATACCTGTGAATATACCACACACAATTTATAACCCACTTCTCATCAGAATTAATGTGACAGTTCTAGGTGAAAGGACAACCAATCAGAAGCGTTGTCCCGCCCCTAACCCCGCTCACAACGACACCCCGATTACTATTGTAAGATTCCACCTGTTTCTGAACACTGCCACTTTTTGACATTGTTTTGTATTTGGAAGTCAACTGAAGATGAAAAAACTGAGAATGTTTCTCTCACAGCTTAGTTTTGCTATGCTTTATGTTCAACAAATCTTGTATTGAAAGTTGACAAAACAAAGATGTTTAAAGAAATACATATTTTAGCCCAAAGAGAATGTAGTTTTTTTTGTGTTTCGGAAATGACTGATGCGGGTTTACTCATATACAGCTTAGTCTCTTGGAAAATGCCATAACATGTTGGCTTTTGACCGTTATATCTATGGAGATTTGCCTAACTTTGCTGTGATGGCTTCATTTATTATGCCTAACACTTAATTTCGCACGGGAGTATGGTCACAATCTTTATTTATAATTTGAGTTTTTTATTTGCATTTTGTAAATGCAAGATTTAAATATATTTTGTTCAAATACGCAACTGAAGTTGAAAAATAAAAAATGGTTGTTGAACTAATGTCTTTCTTAAAAGCTGCTACATTAACAAAAACAAAAACAAAGAAACCTGAAAAATATATATATTTGGAGCCACTTAATTTTAAAAATGGTTGCTATTTCAAATTTTGTATACATTAACTAGACAACATATAAAGTTGCTTTAATAAAATAATATGGTAAAGCCAGTTGGAGCAACATAATTTTTATGATGGGGTTTCACTGTATTGTAAACACTCCAATTACTTTCACACACTTGATCCAGATGTATCTACTTTATAAATGTCAAATCCTTGTCCTTAAGGTGCTTTAAAAAGCCTCAACACCATCGAGAGACTCAACTGTGAAAAAGCGACCAGCGACACCAGTCCCAGCAAACTGGGAAAGTCACCGTACTGTATTCTTCATAAACATTTTCCTGCAGTGCGCAGCTTACTCCGTAAAAGTTTCTAAAACAAGCCATCATGGCAGATGGGTCCAGACTCATACTGAAGCAGAAAGAATTTTGTTTTCAACATAATGTCCTCAGCACAACTGGAAGCCTGTAGATTGATGCTAATCTTTTCATTCTCGTACTGCTCACTGCATGCAGGTAGAAACTTTTGGCAGCAACAACATCACCTGTATGTGTTAAAGGGAAGGCCTGGCCTGTAACAGTAACATGTATGCCTGAAACTGTAACGGCTTGTGGGAGACTCTTGACATTGAGTGCATGGGCCGAGTGTGTGTAAGTAAGAAGTTAGGTTGACAGCCAGTTGTTTTGTTTGGGATGAATTTTTTCAGTCCTGCTGCTGCCACAGATGACATCTTTTTCTTTATGCTGTCAGTGCCTTTAATGTATTCAATGCCATCTGGATAAAAAGAGAATGCTTCTGAAAAGAATGGCCAACCCTACCTTTAATACCTTTGCACTTAAAATAATTTAGACATGATATGACGAGTATTAATAATTAGGGGGATGTCTGATAGTATTCCATCTTGGCCATCAGTGTTGCTAAGGGTTTATCTGGACTAAAGCATAACGTAAGGGTTTACAGGGATGTATGCTTTCAGAATAGGAGTGTCAGGTATCTGAACCAGTTCTTCTCTCTCTACACTCCTTACTAAAGGCTGATAGATTGAATAGGTGTCTACTTCCTTTCATTTTTTAAACTGTCACCATGAATCAAAATAAAATCCCCACCCCATCGCACCATACCACTGAGCAAGAGAAGATGATGATGGCGGTCACTTACATTGGCTTTTACAGACTCAGCTCAGCCACAGTAGCTGAGGATTCAGCTATGTTTACTTTGCCCATAATTATTCTATACGAAGTTACTAGTGATCAGATAGGTCTTTGTACACAGCTCTAGCATGAAGTCCTGTCTTTTCTTTGTGCTCCCAAGGTCATACCAAAGGAGGTGGGTGGGTGAATGTCTTGTCTAGGGTGTGCAATCCAATTCTGCAGCCCTCCTGTCTGTCAACAACTGAGTATGATGAAGCAGAGCTTTGTTTACAGTAAGTTGGTGGTTACTAGATTTATGTTTGGGAACACAGAATCCGAAAAAGGAATTATGTGTCATGAAGTAGTTGTAAGTGACTGAGTGTGTTAGAGTCATG